ATTGTTGGAGAAGTCCAAGATTACCTGTGTATCTTGGAGGTCAATGTAACCAGTCTGGTTTTGAGATGGAGGGACATGTCAGACCTGAATTAGATGTTAAATCTTTTAGACAAAATGTGCTGTTTTCAGAATTTATTATATGCTATTTCCAGTCCAATCATATACTCTATGTTGTTGTAGCTTTGCATGTGTGTATACGCGTGCCTGCTGTATGTGCAAGTGTGAAATGCTGCTAAGATCCAGGCAGAATGTATTGTACTGACTTCAGACTAAAGTGGCAGTCTGAGAGATCGTGATAGCCTTTTGTGATGGTTCTCTTTTATTGTGGTAACTTTCTACATTTTTTTCCCCTTGCATTTATTATTTTTTTCCTTCACTCCTTTCTTTTGATGTCTATCTGTTCTTCTTAAAACCAGCCATCTTGAGCTGGTTTCACCCATCCGTGTTCTCTTCTTCACGTGTCTCTCTACCAGGCTGTCTTCCAAGGCAGTCATGTTTCATACTTCCTTCAAACTGTACATCTTAGACCAACGGTGTAACCTAGTCAACCCTGCTTTAGTGGACAAAACTCCACATGGATTTTCCCTCTTTATCCATCACTTTCCACCTCATCACTCCCATTCTTACTCTGTGTGCTCGCATGCCAGTATATCTGTCTACTGATTATGGAGCTGAGTTTTATCTGCTAACTACAGTACTAGCTATATTTTTATCCTCTCAAAGTTAACTTCTTTCTGGCTGCCTGTTCTTATCTCTTGAATATTTTTAGCCTGATATGACAAATGTTAGCTGTTTGTAATGATAAGTTCAAAATGTCTAAAAATACTTTGTTCTCCTGTGTGTTTTTCTATCACAGATAATTGTTGATTTATAGTTATCAAACTATATTGAACCTTTAACACAATAAACACAGAGAGGCTAGAAAATCTGCTTGAAATGAACAATTAAAAAGCCACCAGGGTGGTAAAACAAACAAACAAACAAACAAACAAACAAACGAAAAACAATCCTAGAACCCATTATCTCAGACCATGTCAATGTGTATACTCTGCTTGGGGACACAAAATGAGCTGTGGGCCCCTAATCGCCCTTGTTGCCCCTCTGTGTGTTATGATAAAAACTAGGTTTTGACACAGAGCTCTTCAAAAAGATATGGAGATAATATTGCTGGTCCCAACCAAAAGATTATGTTCCCTTCCATTGATACTAGGGCATAATCTGTAAACAAATGTTTAAATGACTGAAATGAATGAATGACACACAAGTCAGTCCTCAGGTCCCATTCAGTTCAGTTCAGTTTCCGGATTGGGGGCCTGGGCCCTAGGGCAGCTGTTCGCTTTGCGTAGTCAATAATCCAACCTCGCCCACATCCTTCCTCCTTGCTTCCTGGGTGTTTTGCTCTTTAGCAACTCTCTTCAATAGAAAGTAAATGAACCCTTTGGAGTTGCGATGCAATTTTAAAGCAGTTCTTTTAATCAGTGGACATGGTAACAATCAGTAGTTGGTTAACTGTTAGCAATTTATGAAAAACAGTGGTCTGTCTCCATAATAAAATTGTTTACATGACCCATATTTGCTGCAAAATCAGAGTAAATTGGGAATATAAAGAACAGAATAAACAAAATGAAAATATTAAACATAGTAAACAATGCTGCACCAGACTTGATACTTCACAGTACTACTGGGAAAGTCTTTTGTAAATGTATAGAACTAAGGTTCACTGGTTTGGGTAGAGCACACAGCACTGCATATAGTGCAAAAAGCGCACCTCATACCGGCATGAAAACATCATCCTAGTGGTGAAGTACGATGGAGGGAGGACCATGAGTTGGGACTGTTTTGCTGCCTCCTGGCCTGGACAACTTGCTATCACTAAGGGGAAAATGAATTGCCAAGTTTATCAAGATATCTTGCAGGATAAAGTCAGGATGGATGTCTGCCAGCTAAAGTTCAGCAGAAGTTGGGTCATACAGCAGCTCAATTACCCTAAACATCAAAGTAAATCTGCAACAGAATGACTTCAGTCAAAGAAAATCCACTTTTTGCAATGGCTCAGCCAGAGCCCAGGCCTTAATCCAATGCAGATACTGTGGAATGACATCTTAAGAATATGGCTGAGCTGATTCAGTGCTTCAAGATTTCACTTGAAGGTTGTGCAGATCTGATCCATACCTAGGAAGCTTGTTTGAGGTTATTGCTGCCAAAGGAGCTTCAACCAGTTTACAAACTCCAAGGTTCCACTTAGTTTTTCATCACTATTGAATGTGTCCAGTAAAGACTTGAAAGATTAGGCTTATAACTGTAGGTGTTGTTATCTTAAGCACATTGTGTTTGTCTATATTTGTGACTTAAATGAAGATCAGGTATACTGTATTTTAATACCAAGAAATGCAGAAAACCAGGTCATTCCAAATGGATCACTTACTTTTATAGCTGTTGTATAGTGTCTTCATACATTTCCAAACAGGCAACACTGTACCTGTCACTGACTGTACAAAATGATAATGATCTGATATCCATCAGTGTCTGAACTTACTGTAGAGTACACAGGGCTGCAGCTGAGAATTACTTTCATTTTTGATTAATTCACCTTTTATTCTTTCAATTAATTAATTGTTGGTAAATAACAAATTATCATTCTAATAATTCTTGAGAAGTAGAAACCAACAATATAATTTTGCCAGTTTTTCTTTACCCATTATTAAAATAATTATTGAATGTTATAATTTTAATAGCTTCAGTCTTGAATGAGAATGGAGTCACTGTAGACACAGTTGCAACTGTATGATTGTGCAGTTTACCCGATTATAACCCGAAGTAGGTAGGCTGATGTCCCTAAACCTCAGACCTGCACCTACTCACATGTGCACATTGCACATAAAACTGCTCCATGTGCATCCTTCAGTGTTACAGTGCAGCACAAGCGGAGGCCTTCGTTGGCCACAGTGGTCCCAGGGAGAAGTCGACCGCAGCAATTAACAGAGAGATGAAAGACACCAGGCTGCCTGCTGAATAATTAAGTCTGGTTTGATGAGCAGGGAGGGGCTCGAGGGGGAGGTTGAATCAAACTCCTTCCTACAAGAATGTGTCCAGTGATGTAAAATATGCTACTTGAGTAAATAAATTTGTGCTTGTGTGTTGATTGATCACTTTTAAAACAAGCTAAAAGAGTGTAGATGCACTTCACAGTTTAGACAAAAATTATGTTTCAGTTCATAAATTTTATAATGTCCTCGGGGAAGTTAAGTCATCCTGTGGTACCAGTGTAGCAGCTGATGACTACCATTATGCAAAGTACACAGCTGGGTCAGTAGGCCCATTGATCGGCCAGTTTCTGGTGAGGTACGATATAAAGAAAAGAGCAGAACAACAGTGCATGAAGGAAGAGTTTAATTGGCAAATCTGAAAGAAAGGGAGTACTGCAGGAAGTGTGAGATACAAGCAGGGATAAAAAAAGGCAGCAAGAGATTGAAGCAGACAAACAGGAACTCTCCCAGGAGTGTTTCAGCCAAATGTATTTAAATGTATTCTGCTAATTACAAAACTCTAAACACATACACACTGATGCAAACACTGTCTGGCATTTTGTAGCATCGTTTGTACTGAGGCAATTACATGCGCCTGCTTTACACAGTGTGTGTTTTTGTGTGCATTTGTTTGTACATATGTGTGTGTGAGTGTTTTCCTAAGTGGATTTTTTTGTGTGTGCAGGTGTCTGAGGGAGAGAGGAGAGAAGATAAAAACAGAATTACATGCAGGAGACATGATAAGCGAAGCCTTTTCCACAAAGATTAAGTAGTATGGATTAAAGCAGAACAAGTGGCGGTTTGCGATGCTTTTTTCCCAAGTGAGGATGAATCAAGAAGCTATTATATCTCAAACAAAAACATTTACTTCAAAACAACTCAAGTGTCTTGGGGAATTCAATCTTCATTCACAGCCAACTGGTATAAAGCACCGCTGAAACCTCTGTACAGTATTTTAGAGCATCACTGACAGCTTTGTGTAAAGGACGCACTGCACAGCAGTTGGTTGGTTAGGTGGTTAGGTGACAGGTATGGGGAACAGAGGGGAGTGTAGTGCTCTTCTTTCATTCAGGTGCAAATTTAGCCAATCAGATGAAGAGCAGTTCTCTGTAGCTGCTCTTCATCTCTAACCACCTGGTTTTGTGTCCTCTTCATTGATTTATTGACCAGCATCTGTCTGAATGTTGGCTGGACACACACCTCTTACTGTCTCTTTCCTCCTCAATCATCTCCTGGAGTTCTGCTCTTATTTTTCTCCTTCCATACCTTCCATCACTTTTCCTATTTATGGGGCTGTCTGGTTCACTGTCATTTGTCCATCCAAGTTAAACATAAAGAACAAGATTGTTGATGAATTTACAATATTTGCAGCCAATTTGTGGTAAGCTATTCAACTAGCTAACCAGTTGTTTCACTGCAAAACATGTTAGGCATTGTTCAGTTTCTCCTCCTTTCCTTCACATACGAATATGCTATATGTCCAAAAAGAAAAAAAAAAATTACATTTCTGTGATCAAGTAAGCACTTAACTGACTGTCAGAGACTGAACAGTAAGGCAGAGGACACAGCATTTAAATTTCAAAAAAGATGGGCTTTTTGTTGACCCAAAATAGGGGGAAAACCCAAATAACATCAATATCAAACTAACTGGGCCCTAAAAGAGGTCAACAAAGGATAAGGCAACTCAAAATACAGCAAACTGAACTACACAGTACCTCAAATAAAATACACATAACAAATGATACAAATGGAGAACATATTTACTGGCTGGCCAAACCAGTAACACACACATGGAATGGACAAAGACACTGACTAAATAATCTACCAGTAAACACAACTAAATTGTGTTTAAACTAGTTTTTTTTTACATAAACATAACCTGACAAAGTTATAACATGAACTACAAACAAATATTTCTTCCAAACTAGCCCCCTCCTTGTATTGGGCACTTGGTACGGTCCAGGCCTAGTGGGAGGCATTTAAACTTGCTGCTGCCTTGCTCCAATCTTTTTGCCGAGACCACCCCCATCCATGAACCAGGAACACGGTAACTCAAAAAGAACATTTGCACACATTAGCAATAAAAAATTAGCCAAATGTTTATGTCAAATCAAACCTAAACATAAAGTCTACCTACAACTTAAATCTACACACGTGGACAAAGAAAACAAAAGAACATTCCATAGCTAATTCCACTGCTGGTGGTGGCTTAGGCCCTCACATGGTGAAGGCCAGGGCTGAGGCCTTCACAATGGCTAATCATTGCAGCTCTACTGTATATGCAAATAAAGGAAGGTTACTGAAGAAACAGATGTTTCACCTTCAAGTATAACAAGCAGAAGCAGTATAATAAATTGTTTCAAGGTTTTGGACGTGTTGCATCTGATTGTTTAAATTATTGTTATGCTTTTGTTGGTTTGTATTTTTTAGCCATATCTCCCAGCACTAATGTAGAAGGATTGAACTGTGGCCTTGGCAGTAGATGCCCTCGTCTCCTTTCCTCTCACTGCAAAATTTTCAAAACATTTTATTTGAGCTACACTTTGTGTTTTGTACGTCCTCAGTTGAACCAATATTCTGCCAAAGTGATTGGCAGCAGGTCTGTAAAAGAGAGTGCCAGCTCTATGACTAAAATATTTAACCTTCACCATTTTCAATTTTCAAATCTTAAACAATCACAGATGCTTGTTCACTTTACTACTACTTGGACCAGCATGGGCAGAACAGTGCAGTGTAATTTAAACTGCATTGCAAAGAGAAGTCTATCCCTGGAGTGGGAACAGTGGGGAAATGAGGGGAAGGGAGCAAGGAGAAGAGAAAGAAAGACACGTCTCCAGGGATGCATTTTAATTCACTCAATTGCCCTATATTCCCCTGCAGTTTTTGTTTTGATGGTAGTGACGCTTTGCATATCTTTACCCTCCAAGCATGGAGGATGTACACAGGAGGGGGACCTGTGTATGTGTGTGTGTGCGCACACGTGCTTTCTACCTTCCAGCATCAGGGTGTTTTACCACAGTGGATGGGCACAGGAAGGTTGAGTCTGTGACAACATTAATTAAAGCCACAGAGAGAGGAGGAGGGAAAAGTTGCATGCCAGTGCTATAGCAGGTAGAAATGGGAATCCCTTGGTTTAGCTGGCCACAGTGACTAATTGCTTTGTTGTTCCTCGTTTGTCTCTGATGGGGTTGTATATTCTCAAAAACTTGTCATGTAGAAATGGATGCAAATTTTGATTTGTCATCAGTTTGTTCATGTGTTTGGTAGCTTTAACCTTTCACCACCCTGTTGACACATGTCAGTCTCTCAGGCTGACAAACAAAGTAGGGGAATGCTATTGTGAAAATGTAACCTTTTAATAAGAAAGTCACTTTTGGCTTTTCCCATTTAGGGGTCGCCACAGCAAATCGTCACACTGACGACTTGCATATGAACATTTGGCACGTGTTTTTCGCAGGGTGCCCTTCCCGACACAACCCTGACTTGAACCCGGGCTGCAGTGGAGAGAGTGCTGTGCCTTAACCTCTAGCCTACCAGGGATGGCTGACAATGTAACCTTTAAATAGAATGTATTTATAGTTTATTTCTTTGACTCTAGTGATTATGTGGCTTATTCTAAAACGAGTGGGAGTAGCTCACCAGGGCGGTATTGGTACGCATCAAATGGTGATATTTTTTTGTCTTTGCCTATTTAAAACTCAAAGGGGCTTAATTTGGTCCTGGAACTGCAACAGTAGATCACTTACCATAGTTTGGTCTTCAGAATATTCATCCATAGCTTTGCTGATAACTGATCTATTATTTAATTCAGTTTTAAACAACTTCTTTCAGTTCTTCTTTGCAGTTTCTCCAGTGTGAGAATTTGCTGCTTTTTGCCTTTTTACATGATAGCAAATTGACTATCTTTGGGTTTTGGACAGCTGATAAGACCAAACAAGACATTTAAGATGTCAAATTCACCCCCTTTAACACTTTCTGATATCGGCAGCCAAGGCTTTATGTTTTTTTTTAACCTAATAACATCAGTGTACCAAGCCTTTTTTGAGGAATGCATCTACTTATCCATTAGTAACACATGCTTCATCTGGCATACATAATCATGGTTTAACAATATGCAGGACTCAAATAAGTGTGCAGATTGAGCACATACTGTAGATGCCACCTTCAGATGAGTGTAGTCAGAGTTAATTGACAGACAAGGTGTTCATACATGCCAGCTGTTGTGGATTAAGAGTGCAAATAAGAATCAGACAGAAATCTTGTTGGAGTTATTGCCCTAACCAAAATTTAGATCCCTCTAATGTGCTCTAAATTTTAACCGACAAGAGACGCAGTGCACTTTTGACCTGTTCTGAACAGGCAATTTCTTTAGCAAATCCTGACACCACAATTGTACTGGTTGGCAAATCACCAAAATACCAGGACCAGGCGAGGGAGAAGCGCCACTTCTCCTCTGAAAGATGCCCCCTTTGCCAGAACCCACACAAAGACAGAACCTCAGCTATCCTACAGAATCTGCATCCAAATATACTTCTTTGTTTAAGCCACAAGAGGAGCAACAAATGTTCCTTAACAGTGTGTGTGCATTTAGAGCTCGGCAATGGTTAACTTGGATTAAATTGGCTGAGAAGTGTGTGTGTGTGTGTGTGTGTGTGTGTGTGTGTAATGTTGTGCCGTGCTGTGCTGGGAAGAGCAGTTGAACAAAAGTTTATTTTTGTTAGTTTTATGTCCACAGTGAAAATCCAGGCCTGTCCTGGCACCTTGCCCACCCACCTTTATTCCAGATGTTACCGGGGTGAAACTTATGGATGGTAACCCAGCAACCAGGCAGCCAGGTTTGGGAGCTGGAGACAACATTGAGAGTGATAGATAAATTACTAGAGAGAGGGAGAGAGAATTGAATAGTCTTGGCTGTTTCTGTGTTGCTGTTCCCCCTCCTGAGGCCAAGGCCTGGTGTTGATTTAATCACGTCTTAATGTGATTATCACACCAATGTTAAGGGCTCTGCTCATTCCCTCTCCTACATTGATTTATATTTAAAACTGTAATTGAGAGGAACAAACATTGGTATTAGCTATTCTCACTCTCCATTGCTCTCTTGTTCTCTTTCTTACAGCATAGACTGCTTAGTTTTTCTGTAGCTCACAAAGAGAGAATTGGGTTGGAAAGAGTCCAGCCACGGCTCCTGGGAGCAGAAAGGATGACACTAGGATGTTGCCAAAGGCTGTTTCATGTTGGACCATGGCAATACACTGTTCCACCTTCTCTCATACTGACACAGCTATAGTGATTATAAGCTGGATACAATGAATATAGGTTTGTCTTCATCTGCAATGAGAAACCCATATGGCCTTGGGATGTATCCAAAGCAATGTTAACTCTTTGAGGCAGACAAAGAAGCAGATTAGCCTTTAGAGCACAGATGGAAAGAGAGATGAGGGGGGTGGAGTCCATGCAGGAAAAGGTCGGAGCTGGTGGGAAATGACCAGTTCATCTGTAGAGCCGGAAGGCAACTTCAGCACTTGTTGTTATCATAAGCTAATTTAGAGATTTGTATAATTTAATTGCAACATAAATTACAGTCTCGTGTCCTGATAGGTGCGGAGCAGTGTTTCGGTCATTTTCTTTACTTTGTCCTTTGTGGATCAATAACTATATCTGCATTTATATGCAGTAATTCTGTAGAGGTGAGTAGACAGAGGGTGTGAAGATGAGCAGAAAAGACAAGCCAAAGAAATAAACATTGGATAGAGAAAAAGAATGTAGCGGTATGGAGATATTTTGAAATCAGACAGAAGGATGAGAGGGAAAAGAATTGATATCCGAGTTATGTTTTTGTTGCAGAAAGGACAGATGAATTGTTTAATTTGGCATGGCGCCGACAGCAATGGCAGTCTTGGTCACGCTCTCACGTGTTGCTTGTTTTCTCGGTCTATGACTGGACAATAACCCTCGGTGCAATGCCTTCCTCCAGTGCAATACCTGTAAATATACACAGATTATACAGATCTGTACAGGTCTCTGTTTTTAAGTACTCTATTTTTATTCCTATTTATGTTGTTTCACAATGAACATTCCTTTGTCTGTCTGCATTGTTTACTGCGTGTTTAGTTTGCACTGTTTGTTGCTTGTTAATACTGTTTATTTTGTTATACTACACAACCTTATGTTGGTTTACTCTCTACTTGTCCCTTACATGGGGATGTGTACATGCACATTGAGAGCCGCTATACCAGAGTCAAGTTCCTCTTTAGTGGCCAGGTGTGTCGGACACACCTTGATTCTGATTTGTTGAGGCCAAATTATGGAAGGGATTTTTTTTTTTTGGCTAGACAGATTGATGTAGTTTTCTCTTATTTGCATAATCATAATCATCATTTGAAATAAATACTCACACAGGGAGACAACCTCAGAGTTCAGAGAGTGAGAGATTGAACACCGGGAATGGTGACAATTATACAAATAAAGGACAAGTTAGAGGTAGAAAGTGTCAAGTGCATAGCAGTGTGGGTGTCTCTTCATTACCACCCTCTAACTAGAACACAAAAACATACAACGTAGATGACATGAAACTTGCTGTTGTTTCAAGGCAACTGTAGCAAAGTGCAATCTGTGTGCATCGTTACTGTGCCGACATCCCACCTGTTTTCTTTTTTCAAGTCTTTTCAGAGTGCACCTCAGTGTGTACACTTATGGAGGAGGATTCAAGGGCAGAGCTAAATGGCTGTGAATATGGACTGAGGAGCACAAAGGCAGAGAGAGAGGAAGAGAAGGAGACGGTGGCAGTAGATGCTGCAAAGATAACAGCATTGTTGGAGACTTTTTTTTTTTTGTTCCCCTCATCATCCCCTCGCCTCTTCCAAGTACAAAAGAATAAGAGTTGACATTCAGCACTGGTGTTGGTAAGCCAGGCAGATTACAAAACACAGTGCACCTTACCTCTGCTGTTACTTCTTTGTGGGGTTTTATGCCTGTTTGTGTACGTCTATATGCCCTTGGGTACAGACAAAGTTTCCAGACATTTTCTGCACAAGGACAAGGTCGCTTGACCTTAAAGACCTTAAGGTTTTCTCACCTTCCTGTCCCTACTTGTACTCCACACTTTTCTCTTGCTTCCACAGCACAAGATTCTGTACTCATATGTTCAAAAACCCCTTTTCATCTTGTGGGGAAGCAGCGATGTGACCAGTCCTGCAGCAGAGCTGGTGTTGGGATGTTGTTGGTGTGTTGTCTCCGGTTGGAGCCCCATTGAAATGCCAGCTGAGTGTTTGAAAGAGAGACAACCTCACTGATCAATCAGGAATCTCCTCATTCATTATTCACAGAGAACCCATCCAATCGCTCAGAGCCCATGGCCACCACACACTGTCATCAATGCTGCCATTGATTATCAGGCCGCATCAGTGTTTGTTTGGCTTGTCAAATCAATGCCTTTTTAACGGCACGCCATCCCTGCAGGAGACCACGGATGAATATTTCATATCCACTGTGATCCAGTCATAATTCAAAGCATATGACACAGCTAACTTTCTTGTTGTTGCTAGAAATATTTTATTTTTATTCAATAGATTTGCAGTTGCAGATTCTCAGTATAAATAAAGCAGAGAAAATGCACTGAAAACTTTCTGAAATTAATAGCACAAAGTCCCTTTTTAATGACTGCGAATTAGAAAGAAGTGTCAAGAATGGACTGCTATACATTGATTGCTACTTAGTTATGTATTGTGGGTTTATTTAATACTATAATACACCTCCAATAAGTTTAATTTGCCAAATTGTTGCATGTTTCATAGGTTTACAGTATTCAGCATATTATGTACTCAGCCTACACTGCAGCTGCAAGGAAACAAAGAACTGAACTAAATTGGCTTTTGAGTTGTTTTCAGTATGTTTTATGAGTGTGTGGGTTTATAGTAAGGGTAATAACTTGTACAAATGATGCGAGGACCTGTGATTCATATAAAAACTGGCAAGCGTTTTGGGGGTTTTCTTTAATGAGTAAAAGATGCTTTCTACTAGAGACTTGGCCAGACAGCACTAATGGGAAATGAGAGGCTAAATTAATAACCATGTTTAGCGTTATTGCTAACAGAAAATTGAACTGCATATCTTTGAACTCCATAAGTCCTCGTGGCTTTATGGTTAACCAGTTAGTCATTTTGGGGTTAAATATTTTAACTTGCTTCTTTTGACTTCCACTTCACCTCTGATCCACCTGTTTGTATAGTGGTTATGACAGGTCAGTGCAGAAAAACTAGTGCTGACAGGCATAGCTTTGCTGGGAAATGGAGAAGGAGTGCTCCCCTCCTAGTACAGTGTATGTGTGTTTGTGTGTGCATAAGTTTACTTTTACATTTCGGCGAAAAATATCTGGCTTCATTCTAAACAGACAGATGGAATATGAACAAAATGGCAATCTCATATGGCCCTGAAAAGAAAATAAGGAATGTAAATATTTAACACTAATATTTTTGTTAGTCTTTTGCTATTCAAGGCCATGATGATGTATGCAAATAGTTGTTTGGACAACTATTTTATTTGGCCAGTGGTCAGAATTCCTGCAACATGAGTAGAATGAGAGGAGAATAAGAGCTGGTGTCCATTTGTATATCATGAATACAGAGCGGTTACCAGCCTATCTCTTTGTCTGCTACCTGAATTATCTTGGACTAACAATGTGGACAGAGAAAACAGAGGCTTTGATGATTAAATTGTGTCTCATGAAATCCCTCAGACACATGTCACTGGCTTTCGACCAGTTTTTGAAATCATGAAAGCTGGAACACAGTCTGAACACAGTTCATCGCTTCTGTATTCTCAAATTCTAACTCTGTTCATTTTTTTTGTTTTTTTTGTTTGTTCTTTCAGCTCTTTATCTGCAGCTCCCCCTCCTCTTTGACAGGAGCTGAGAGGATTGGTTAGATAGGGGAGCTCTGAGGACTTCGTTTACTGTAAAGCACAGAAACGAGAAGGACACCCGTCCCTGTTTTAAAGGTATGTCTCACACATGCTATACTCTGTGTTCCCTTGTTACATCTCCTTGCGCACTCCCTTATTCCTCTGCTTTGTCACACTCCCTCATACCTCTTTAGCCCCATGAACATATTTCACTTCTGGCTCCAGGCACACAGTATCTTTTAATCTTTTGTTCAGAATGCCTCCTGTTAACACCCTCACCGCAATGACTGTGCCCCTAGCCTGGAAATACGGGCTGGCCTGAGGCTCTGTTTGGGGCAACAGCAATGACTGCAGACAGACATGTTAGGATGTAGACACACACACACACACACACACACACACACACACACACACACACACACATATGCTTTCTTTCCAACTTTTGTTTGCATCTGTCTCCATCACTCACATGCACACACATACACTTGGACACAATGTGTGCTTTCTACCTGGGGCTATGAATCAATGAATGCAGACTCAGAAGTGTTTGACCTCTGAGTCTGGTTACTGTGCGTCAGCCAGTATTTTCACTCATAATATCACCACCAGGGAAGACACATATGAACTTGACCTGGCACGCATGAAATATTTCACAGTGAAATAGTGAATAATTTTTTTTATACAACTGAAACAACTTAACCTCACAGCAGATTAACTCAGATTTTGCTTTCTCAATTTGATCAGGTTTATTAATATTGTTTTGTATTGTTTTACAGGATCATAAAAGATTAAAATATATTTATGTGGGTGTAATTATTTTATAAATAGACCTGCCATTGCCATTTTAGAAATTGATTGGCTTATTGATGAAAATCTAATGTAACAGTGTATTTGTAGTTAACAGAAAACCTTAAAGGAATAATTTGACATTTTGGGAAATTTGCAGAAGAAGCTCAACATAACACATGTGCGTGTGCTAAGTGTGAACCTGCTGTACAGCTAAGAGACTGTAGAAGGAGGAAACAGCTAGCCTGGCTTGATGGTAACAAAATTCACCCTACCAGCACCTCTAAGGTCACCTATTGGAATGCATTATATGGCAAAGCAATGGTTTTTTATGCTAAAGTAAGCTAACCACCTACTGGCATCATATGTAACATACAATTATGAGAACTGTAATGATTCTTTCTTTTAATTCTCATCAAGAAATAACTGCATTTCCCAAAAGGTCAAACTAGTCCTTTAAGTAATTTTTGGAACATAACAAGCAAGTCAGCATTAGTACAAAATGTTGTTTTGTCTCATGCATGCTTTCTGTCTTGTTAAAATGTTTTAATAAGAACATGCATGTAAAGCAAGTCAGCATTAGTACAAAATGTTTGTTTTGTCTCATGTATGCTTTCTGTCTTGTTCAAGTGTTTTAATAAGAACATGCATGTGTAAACTATGTTGTGTAGAGTGAATGTATTTTTCTTGATGCCTTTTTTTAGTGTGTGTGTGTGAGGGAAATGGGCAAATGAGGGAAAGTGTGTTTAGTTTTCTGAGTTAGATCTGATAAGACAGACAGCCATAGGTTGATATTCCTGAAAGCAGCCAGGCTCTCCTGTTCACATCACATGGCTGAGACATAGACCTACAGAAAGAAGTCAAATGTGTATTTTTTTTATGGAATGTTCTGAAATCTATATAAAAAAGATGTGAAATGATTTTGATAGGCCTTCCACAGGCATGCCAAACCATTACTGCAGGTGCACGGTGCAGATCTGTTCTTGCATTAGTTGTTTTCTATCACTGCTATTATAGTGTTAAGCTGACCTGAGAATCAGCCAGTTTGCACTTTTCCATGCAAATGTTCCAGTGGGAAAAGTCTGTGTGTGCTGGTGTGACCGTTACAGTACTCACATGAATGCCACACCTCAAAGGCAACGTGTTTTCTTCAAAGCCTACTTCAAACACAGCCCCAGGCAGTTTGCATGCGCTCTGGTCAGGTCTGCCTCTTTACTTGTACTTTGTCACTCTGGTTCTGATTTGACTCCCATGGGAACTGAAGAGAATGACAATGCCCAGCAAACAGCCCATCTACATCTTACTGTGCATAGATTTTATCCATCCAATTTCCCATATGGCTTGGGAAGACAAAGACACACTACTGTTCCCACATAGAGTACAACAGGCCATTATATTCACACCATCGCTTCACATGGTTCAAAAACAACTTGGCAAGGCAAATACTGTACATACACACATGCAGTCCACTGTCTGTTGTTTTCCTTTGCTTATTATGTGGGCCCTTGTAGAGGGTGAAGAGTGGTATAATGACATTGAAGAGAAGCACAAAGCCCCATGTATATAAAATGAAAGAAGGGAGAAGGAGTGAGGAGAGAAAAGGCTGCACCCTTATTCAATTAGTGGCACTGGCCTGCAGTAATTACTTCTACTCTCACTAATTCACATGTAAATTTGCGACAAGCACTGCACTATTTTAATACGATTTAGCAGCACTTTGACTGGATGCCAGTGTTGTGCATGTGGAAGAGGTACTTTATGTACTGCGTGTGTGACTGTGCATTTATGTCAGGGACATACAGAGGGGTGCCAAATTAAAGCAAAGACCAACTTAGAAAGGTGCTGGTCCACCACATGCCACCAGAACAGCTTCAAAGCACCTTGGCATTGATTCTCCAAGTCTCCAAGCTCAGGGTGATGGTGGTGGAGACGTCACCATAGCATGCTGGTCCAAAATCTCCTCAACCTCAGTACTCAATCAAGTTCAGATCTAGTGACTGTGAAGGCCATAACATACGATTCATATCATTTTAATCCTCATCAAACCATTCAGTGACCACTGTGAATGTGGGAATTGTCATCCTGCAAGAGACCACTCCCATCAGGATAGGGATGTTTCATTACAGGATAAAGGTGATTACTCAGAACAACTTTAATTGCAGTGATCATTCTGGTAATGCTTTGTTTAAAGCGTATGTAGTCTGCATTTAGAGCACCAACCCATGTCATAAAGGCATACCTGTACAGTACGTACTGATATATGTAAGTCCAGGGGACCAGCATGCAATCTTTGAGGAATAATGGGGTAATAACCCTGAGACTATTTAAGTATTTTCTATGTACAGAGTATCTATTCTAAAATTACGCTGTATGTTTAAGATAGGTGCCACACAAAACCTTTTCATTTGGAAGAAACATCCTGAATGTACTGTAAGTAGTTTCTAAGTAAGGTGGTATTTATTAAAATATTATGGTGCAAGTATATCCTATTGTAGGTGCCATTCATCCAAAAGCAGTTGTTTGGAAGAAACCTAGCCTGAATTTACTGTAAGTAGTTACAAAGTAACAGGCGTATTCTAATATTATGTTGTACATATATGATACATGCCTTTTCCGTTGGGAGCAACGTTCACATGGTACTTCATATTTAACTACAGGGTACCTATTTCGTAATTACAGGATACAAGAGGAACAAAACTTAGCAGCAACAACTGAAACATGAAGTCATGTCTGCTATGATTTTATGCAAGAATTTACCATATAGACCATCAGATAAAAGTGTTTAGCATGTTCGTTTTCGGGACAGTGTCATCTTACTTCAGCTGTAAACTTGTATCTACAGTATGATTGATAAGGTTATTTGAACAGCAAAAGTGCAGCTGATTTATTTTGGTTTTCTATGTTTTTAGGCACGCAAATAGGGTTGCAACATTTGTGACATGATGAACAGATAAAATCTGCAGTGAGACCTGGCTCAGTCTCTGTCCTGTGGGAATAGCAGCTCTGACTGTTTCCTATATAAATGCTGTCATCCCCCTACCTACTGCACAAATTCACACGCCCACAGCAAGCACTCAAATTACAAGCCGGCATCTCCATAATATACAAAAAAGAGCCTACTGGGAAGGCAGAATGTGCTGAATTAAAAGTTCCAGATTAAGGTTTCATTTCTGGGCTCACAGACTAAATAATACTGATGTGTCTGAACCTATCAGTGAGCAGTACAAACGAGCAGGTAAGGCTATAAAAAGTAAATCGCAATCTCTACTGTTATCTCTTCCTTGTATTGATTTTTCTTCCATCCAATAGATTGCCTACTTAGATAATTGTCTAATTAGCCTTCTAATTGGTCCATATAATTAGCCAATTTAGGATATTGTCCAGAATAAATAATATTGAATGGTGTCAAACACTCCCCGATAGCCATCTCTACACTGCACATCTCGATGTCCAGCCTTTGTGCCTTTGCTGGCTCACAAGTGGATTGAAAGAAAAACAGCAGCACAGGTGAATGGATGGACATGAGATTAGTTGTGTAAATAGGCCAATAGATGGCAAGACAAATGTATAGGCATGCATGTGTAACACACATATGAATGTATGGACAAGAATAAGCAAACAAAAATCATGCACATATTTAGAATCAAATAGTGTTTTGCATGCCATACCTAATCAATATGATCACTCAGGATTAAAGGGGAACATGAGGACACACATCTGACAACACAAGAGTATCAGTAGAACTCCTGGCATGTTACATGCATTATTTACTGCATTAAGCAGTACAAATAATGCTATACAGTACTGTGGAAATGATTTTAGGCACTTTAGATTTTATTTATCACACAATACTATCAGGAAAGCTCATGGCTGTTCCAACAAATGTTGCACAGCATTAACAGTGACCCTAAACATACAGCCACAAACCTTTGTACTCTACTGTGCACTGTGCATGGAGGCAAGATATATTGTAATACAATAAAAAAAAAAAAAAAAAAATTAGTTATTAGAGAGTTTGGACAGAGCTGCTGTGGAGATAAAAGTTGGCATAAACTTTAAACTTAACAGCAAGGTTTTATTTAGGCCTATGAGAGTAGAGAGAGATGGAAACATGGTGAAAGTTTTCTCAAGCTTTCAAAGTTTGACAGTGTCAGTTACTGTAGATGGCTTCGTGATAGATTGGACCCAGCATTTTAGCCAAGCTGTGGAATCGCCCATGGAAAATAACTTATCAAAGTAAATGGTGGGACATCCAACTGCTTAAGGAAGTTTTAGCTATCGGCAAATAAAAACACTTCCTTGAACAGTTTTTAAAAGCCTGCAAAGACCTGAAATTATTTGTATAATGTTGTTCAGCCATGGTAAATCACGCGCTGAGGGGGATTTGTATCAATTTTTATTCTCTCCCCCATGATTTTTGCATCCTTGAACAGGAATACCTTGAAATAAATATTGCACAAGACCAAACGTAAATTCCTGCAGTGCCACATTTCTTCTGTTTCTCCACCTCAAAAAACTCACTATGACCACTTGGTAAATATGAATGCATGCAACTTTTCTGTTTAGCTCCAGAAAATAAGCCACAAAGCTTCAGTAAATATTTCCCCTGGTGTTTATTAAGTGCTGTTTCCGTGTCCTGACGAGAAACCTGCCACCAGGCCTCTGTCCATTTTTTTTAAGTATCTCTTGGTTTAAGTCTTTAATTTTTTTCTTGCTGCATACCCTAAATACATATGCACTTCATGTAGGTTTTATTCTTTTTAAAATGTATTTTATTTATTTATCTTTTTGATCAGTACCCCATGTTTAGCGCCCCAAGGTTCAGTGACCTCCAGAAATGATCAAATGTGAGTTTTTGGAGTCCCTCACTAAAGGTTGAGAACTTCTTTAATTTAAGTTTTTAATAAGACACTGTCTCTTGCTTTCTGTGACCTCCAAACATGTTTGATATAAATGGTGCAGCTTTAGTTCAGGGAAGTTAATTCTTCACACTAAGCATTAATGAAATGTTACTTTCATACCTGACCAAGTCTTAAATGGGGTGTTTCCCATCTAAGTCATGTATGGGGCTTGTCAGAATGATCAGTTATGGTGTTACTTGGCCTGATAATCATCTGGTGCACCTGATTTTTAATTCAGACAAACTGAAAGGCTGATAAGAAGGCGGATTATAAAATCTGTATGTCCCTTACAAAGATGGAGGAAATGTGGTGTGTTTGAAACCCAAGCAGTGATATAGGAAAAGGGGCCATGTGATGTTTGGTGCTAAGCTAAAATGTTGTTTATTGATTTGTGTATGGTCTTTGTGAACTTTATTTGAGGTGAAAACAGGCCATGCGTGGCCATCTCAACTGTGTATATGGGTAAGCAACAAGGCTTAATTTTCAGGGGTGGGGACTGTGGTCCTGTGTGTGTCTGATCACACTAGCAGGTGCATCTCAACTGTTCAGGTGATTTTGTTTCTGGCCCTGTGATTACTGTCATGGCCACTGACTACTTTCTCTGTTTTCTCTCTCGTCTCTCACACACATAAGAGGTACTTTTTACCTGCCCTATATTTATAGGTTTTACTGCACAAAGAGCAGCTGTATTTGGCTGCACTGTTCATAGATTTGTACAGGAGCAGGGCAGATGTCACCTGTTTTCTCTGTGTGGAAATCCCCAGCTCCTCAGAACCTGCTGGGTAATGCAATGACTCACTCATAATTTCAAGTGTGTGTTTGTCTGTAGTTTGTGTGTGTGTGTGTGTGTGTGTGTGTGTGTGCGTGCGTGTGTGTGCACTGGAGCAAGGAGTGTGTGTGCTTGTATTTTTATGCCTGTATATTGTGTGTGTGGTTTGTGTGCAGTGTGGGTCTGTTTCTTGTGCGTGTGTTTTTCACATACTCTAATTTTCAGGACACTTTGTTTTAGGCAATTAGGACACACATACAAACATGCAGCAACTTTTAAACAAGTCTCATTTGTCATAAATGCTTTGTTAGCCCTGGAAACGAGCTAACTATCTGAAATAAATGATCACAGTCCTGTAATGGAGCTTTTGTGTGCTTGTGTGTGTGTGTGGTGGTTTTGTGCAGGTCTGTGTTGGTTTGTATGTGCCTGGTGGTGATCTTTCTACTTAAAGTTGTTCCCTTTTGAGCTTATTAACGTTGTCTTGCACTCACCAGAGTTAAAAGACTATTTTTTGTATTCAGCACAGCAGCTCTGCTCCTCCTCTGGGGGATCTGTATTTGCTTTGAGTCATCACTGTATTCAAAGCTATTTCAGTTATGGCATTGACCAACATTTTCTTCCTTGTTTTTGTAACATTCAAATTAACATCTTGTCCCTCACTTGCCTCATTGTTTTGTCCCACTACTGTTGTGCTCCATACTTTCCTAACACCAACTTTGGTCCTTTTTCTCTCCCTCTCACATCCCCGTTCTGTTATAAGCAGCACTTTGCCTTTCTGTAAGTGGAAGGCATATTCCTACACAGGTTGGAGCCAGTTTCACCTATTCAGTTCAAGTACCTCAATTCAGATGCCTAATAACAAATGGAATCAAATTAAATATTTACGATAGGTATAACGCACCAGCAAATAGTCTGTGCATGCACAAAGAACCAAGGTGGCAGACGTTCAGCAGCCAAGGACACTCTCTTTTCTTTTCTTCTCAGTATCTTGCTCACTACAGTTTGACATAGTGACAGTTGCATGTGAGTATGCACACATGAGAAATCACACACACAGTTATTTTATGGTATAACCACATATATGCACACACAAGCTCAGATATCCGAGCACAACACAGACACATATGTTTAGGCCATTGACACACACAACCTCTCTCTCTGTCACACACATATGCCAGATAATATATACAAGTTGCTGGAGCGCTGATATGTGCTGCTGGATTGATTCCACTCTTTTATCTGCTAAATAACTTACCATCGATTGAACGCAGGGCAGAAGGAGGCAGAGGAGTAGGAAGAGGAGGGGGAGACATAGATGTGCAGAGAGAATTAATGCTTACCAGTATCCAGGAGCTGTCCACACTGCCTGAGCATGCCACTGTGTCACCAACAGCAGACAGATGCAAGTCCAGGTAAGCCTCTACAGACCTGTACAGATAAAAGTTTAGTTAATATAGTGTTGACTAAATTCTTTCGCATGCCTCCTGAAGTCCTCCAGCACCTTGCTGCTATGAGCCTGGAGGCTATTTCTTATTATCTGTGGGAGCCTGAGGGAAAAGTGTTATTGTGGCCTTCTTCCCAGCCTCAGGGGAGCCCGTTCTACACCCATAGAGGGTTCAGAGGCTAATTGGATATATCACTGTGAAAAACATTTTAAATCCCAAATCAATACCTGTCTCTTTAATGCTTTTCCTGAAGAAGTGCTCCTCTCTATCGTGCCTGACCCTTTTCTCTCTCTCTCTCTCTCCTTTCAGCGCCTGCCTTCTGTACAGTCCCTCACTGCCTACAGGGACCAAGGGATATGTGTAGGGGTCAGTGAGCTAAGGGCTACTGGGGGCCAAAACACAGTGAGCACCACAGGAGTCTCGGAATTGAGTGCTAGCATCTAATTCAATATTCCTGCCTACATACAAATAGCACGTCAGTGGCAGAGCAGCAGCAGCAACGGACGGAATATTTTGTAATTAGGTTTTGCGTATGTTAGCTGAACTTTTTACAAGAAGAGCTCTGACTGCGTGGAAGTGTTGATGTGCTCATGTATGTTGGTGGTAGTTAAATTATGGGTTGGAAGGAAAGACACTGAATGAAAGGCAGTGTGAAGAAGATGTTCATAGTAACACATCTTCCTGCACCAGTCATGAGTAAGGCTAAAAGTTAGAGGTCAGCAACACTTTGCTTCTTTTGCTCAGGTTGAAACAAAAACTCACATTTTATGTCTCTTCTGTCAATGCCAGAGGGGTGAAACCTGATTCATTTGCTGAATAATTTGTCAATAAAACATTCAATAATTTGGTATATAAGTGTCAGGAAAGTGTTTGTCCTATAGTTTACAGAGACCAAGGCAAAGTTTTCAAATGTTAGAATTCATCCAGACAATGGCCTAAAATCCCAAAGACATTATGGTAAATGGTCTGATACTGCCCCACTACTTCCATGGCTTCAGTCTAAAGGGAGTGATGGAAACCTTTTACTAAATGTTCCAATAGCGACCAGAAGCAGATTTGGAAAAGGGAGGATTCATGTTGTAAGATCATTGTTTGCATGTCCTGCATTCACTGTAAAAACCCCCAACCCCCCCCAGTGCCCTGCCCGTCTTAAATGTGGTGTATGAGTTTGCATTATGTATGTGTCTTTATGTGTGTGCACAGATTCGGATCCTCATAACATTTCTATCAGTTTTTAAGTGTATTTTGTACTGCTAGCTTTATTGCCTTTGACATAGTTTCATTTCCAGAAAAACAGGAAGCAGAGATGGTTGTCTTGCACTTCTGTTCCAGAGGCCACAGCAAACGTGACCCTGGATGTGCAATGATGTACTTGTGCGCAGTGTTTGAGTGTACGTGAGCGTATGTATCCCGCTGTCATACAGTATGTGCTGAAAGGCAGATGACACAGTTCTTGTTGTGCGTCAGACAGCAAGCGTTGGCTTTCGTCAAACTTTTTATTTTTTTGTTTTGTGATCTCTTTCTGTGTTTCAGTCTAGATTGATGCCATGAACCACAGTGTCTTGTCACTTGTAGTCAAGAAGTGGAAGTGGGTCATTATGAGCAGTCCCCATTCTGCACAAATGTGTTACATCTGACACTGTTTTCATTGGAGTTTAGCCCCCCCCCCCCACCCACCGCCAAATTCCCTCCTTCATTTTCTCACTGCCCCCTTCCCACTCCTTCCTTCCTCTGTTTGCCTTTGCTCCCTTGATTCACTTTTGGTGCCAGCTTCTACCCTTTCTTTGTCAAATGACTCTCCCTCACTCTCTTTACTGTCTGCTTGACTGCAAAAGAGCAGTTGGGGAGAGGAAAGCATGGAAGGGGGGTGGGGGGGCCAGCCCATTATGTTGGCTAGCAACTAAGTGGCAAATACAGTTTTCACTGACTGCAAGGTTGTGCACCTTTCTGCAAATAAATGCAGCAAAAGATGTTGCTGAGTTGAGATTTAACATTAGGCTGGAGCACCTGCTCTCCTCCTGAACACAGAGTCTGAAGAAGTTAGCTTGTTTTCCTCTAAGTTTTTGTTTGCCAGAAATCTGCATTAGGTTTAATGAAAGAGCAGTTAGGTGAATTGATATTATTATAAGCTGTCTCTCATGGTGCTATGCAAGGCGCTGCCCTGGCTGATCAAATTGCGGTTTAATGTTTTAGCCAAGGACATTTTGATACTTTGTCAAAAAAAAAAAAATCTCCAAAGACGTTGAGTTTACTGTCATGCACAATGAAGAAAAGCATCAAATCCAAATGTCTAACAGTAAATATTTGGGACTTTAAAAACTGTGAATTTTAATTTGTTGATGATTGATTATTTAATCATTGCAGATCTGTATGAATACAGTCCACTCAAGATAATTACATTTTAATATGATGTCACCGGTGTGTGAATGTATGAGTGCTTGGGAGTGCAAATAATGTGAAAGTGCTTTGAGTGTGCTGTAAAAGCATAGAAAGGTGCTATACAAGTATAAGACCATTTAATATGCTCAAATGTCAAATTTCATCACCAGCAATAATTTTTTTAAACCTTTCTTAAAAAAAAAAAAACTCTTGTTTTTCCTTTTTTGCTGCTACTCTACTGTCTCCATGACTTCTGCTATTGCTATCTTCATCCACAACTGTAAAATGCAAAACTGAACTGCAGCAAAGTTCAGGCACATTCTCTGGAGGTTTACTGACAGTTATTCTGGAAAATTTATGAAATAACTAACTGAAGCGAGAGATGATGGGACAGTTTGAAGGCAAGTGTCAAAAAGAAGAAGAAGAAAAACACTAAGAAAATCATCAAGAACTAAAACAATCTCTTTCACTGCACAGAAGAGGACTGTCAGTAACTTAATTTTAAACTAGAAAGAAGCTGGCATTGCTGGAGTTTGACCATCATTATCATTTTTGCACCCACAATTTATCATCTGTGTACCCACAAACATCCCCAGACAGCTTCCTAATGCAGTCCTCCCTTTGACGTCCTGTGGAGCTTATCTGTCGGGTGCATCTTACTTTGTGTCACTGTGTATGTGCACAGACTGGACAGATCCTCTGGAGTGTGACTGATGTGTGGCGACACACTCCATACAGTTGGAACAGGCCAGAGATTGCCATGATAACCTTTCACCCTGTGTACACTGTTGTGTTAGTTTTAGTGACTCTTCTTTATGACGACATGTTTCTAAATGCCAGCAAATACAAATATCAGCCACGTAGCCATCGGCGTAAACAAGAGATAGAGGCTCAGGGCAGAGAACCTCACTGGGCAGCATATGGCCCTAGTTTGTGCAGCTTAGTGCCTTCATACAGGCGAAATGTGTGGAAAAATCCACGTTCAAAGTACAGGGATTAACATAGATGAAAACAAAGAAAAAAGAGGGCTGACTTTCTCCGAAGAGGAACTTTCAAAATAGATCCTCAACTTCCTTATTTCGCCCTCATCCACAGTAACTTGTACTTTTTTGTTAGTGTTTTGAGTTTTGTCTCCAGGAATTGATCAACAGCTGAGAGTAGAATAAAAATAAAGGTTCCCCTGGTGACTATAGAAACAGGACCCTGGATTTGTTCCACATGTCTTTGCACACAGTCAGATAAAATTCCATCGACAGTGTGCACACACACTTATTTTGCAATCACTCCAGCCCTCCTCCATTTCAGATCATCTGCCAGATGCCCCCCCACTCCAACTGCTGTTAATCATATTATCTGGAATCCCTAGCACTTAAATCTATAACTGCTGGGTATATTAATCGCAGGGAATCTTGTTATCATGTCTATATTAATTAAAGCCATCTGCCAGGGATTTGGTGAGGGTGGGTTAGCGGGGAGACGGAGCAGTGGGGTAGAGGACAATCTAGTGTTTTATGTTTGAAGACACTCAGTAAGATGCTTGGTAATTTTGTGCATACGTGAAACTTCAAATTTTCCTGTGCCCTGGTTATGGGTGACAATCGAGGCAACACTAAAAGAGATCTACAGTGAGCTCATGACTGAGAGTTTTAACGTGACTTGACAAGCACTTCCTGGTTCAGTGTCACAGCTTTAGCTGGTGATCATAAATCCATCTGTCTCTACTGTCAGAATGCATTATTCATTCCTGGTATGAACACATGCACCTGTAGGCTTAACTTTCTTTCTGTAGTCCTGTGCAGGCGAATGGAATCAGAACTAGGGAAGGGGGGTACTGAAGCCTTCAGCGTACTATGTTTCAATCCTGAACTCCCACCACACAGGAGGCTGTTTGGCTGCTCGTAAGTGATGGTGCTAAAGCATCTCGTCTCTCCTCATGAAGGGGTTGCCCTGGAGGAGAGACGAACCAAGCACAGAAGTGAAGTTCAAAACAGAATAATATTGAACTCAGCATTATTCAGAAAAGGAAACGCCATTAAGTTTTGATATGTTGCCTTTTCTACAGTAAGGTATGGCTCTGAGGCAGACAGATAGTCAAAGAAAGAGGCGGAGCTATGTCAGAGAGATAGAAGATAGGAAAGGCATGTTAGATGGAAGAATAAAGGAGCAGAGCAGTGTACTGTGTATAGCCTCCTACATCCATCTAGTTATCCATCTATCACCTTTGCCAGTCCCTTCCACCCTCTATTCACACCCTGCCTTCATCTCTTGAACTTCAAGGCAGTGTGGAGGGAAAACATGTCAGTAACTGGGGGTGTAATCCTGGGCGGCCGGTGCTTCTTGCTCAGACATGCACAATAAATACACACTATCGTACCAGAGGCCTCGTCTGAATGACAGATGATCAGGAGCGCCTGCCAGCGCCCTCCCCATCTCGTCCACACTCTCAGCACTCATCTGATTTTATCCATTAGTATTCTTTTCTCCGTGTTGTGCGTGCTATTGTCAGGCTCAGTGGCACAGCCTCATTCTGAGGAGGTTGAACTGTCGCCTGGGGGGTCTCACCTGAGAGGGCTGACAGCTGCCTGTGTAATCAGCTCCTCTGCCTGGATCCTGATAGGCTTAAACCAGAAAAGGGGCCGGTGATTAGGTTTGTTGCAAAGATGCACATGAGAACTGACATTCAGAGAGAAAGTGACGAGGTGATGATGGACTGTAGGGATCTATGAGAAAGAGACTTTTAGACCACAACACCACAGCTGATGACTTGCGAGCAGTATTGTGAAATTAACTACCAGGAGTTAATATACTGTTAAAAACTTCCCAATCATTTCAACAGTAATATATAAGAGGAAGAGGATGTACATCTGTACTTTTCTTCAGAAAAGCAGCTGGCAACAGTAAAATACAGAAATACTGAGAAACAACAACAGGATGATATGTTGTGTGCTGTTATTGGAGAATGATAAAATGTATTTTGTATGTAGGGAGGATGTAGAGGAAAGGTTTAAGTAAAATGCAACACAAGGGCAAAAAACATGTACATTTAAATTTTCATTTTGTTTTTCTTTGGCCTTTGATAAAAACAACTCGGTTTGAGTTAACAACTCAAAACTGATTTTGCTCCTGAACACCCCGCAGAAGTAGAGCTCATGACATTTTCCCTTTGGACTGTGAGAAGCCATTTGTAGGAAATCTCAGAGCTCCTTTTTCTTGCTTGAATCATCTTTTAGAGTTGGAGCTGGAGCTCACACAGCACATAAAAATGAAGTTATAGGACCTCCTCCAGTCAAATTAATCCACTTCAAATGGTGCTTTAGATTCTACTGTACTACCCTTGACCCCTAACCCTGATACCTGGTTCAGGGAAGGGCTCTTATGCTGGAGCCCTAAAATAGATCTGTCACATTTCACATTCCGGTGTTGCTGTCCCCTCCCCTGGCTCACCCTGATTCAGACAACAGCTCCTCTGTTAGCCTCTGTTTGCTCTGGAGAGAGCCCTGCACCTCACAACTCTCAGCCTAGGCCCACCCTAAACTGCTCTGCCTCTGTCCACTTCTCTCCAACGTCATATTTCATCTTTTTTTTTTCTCCATCTCTGCCTCTATGACTCCTTATTTTTCTTCTCCTCCTGGACCTCTTCCTCCTCATATTCATACTTTGTTCAATTTTTCTGTTTCCAATCTATACCTTTGCTTTCAGCTTTTATTCCGCTATTACTCACCCTCCCATGAGATCAATTTACCTTTGCGTGGCCGAATCTTTCTCCTCACACAAAACTCCTCTGTATGCTACTGTTATGGAGTCTTCTCCTCCTGTCTTCTCTCCTGTCATTCACCAGCTCTTCATCTCCATCTCTTATAGAACCTTTGCTAACTTCCTGCCTCGCGAGTCATTTCAAATTCAATTAAACCTCCAGAGATTCAAGTAACTTTTAAAAGGATAGGAGCATACTGTATCTGTCTGTCTTTCATTCACCAAAACTTTATGGGTTCACCCCAACTCGTTTTCTCCCTTCCTATCAGTCCCCAATTCCTCTTTCTCCTTTTCTCTTTCTCTCATTGCGTGCCATATTATTACCTTCACTCCTTCATTTCTCTATTTTGTACCTCAGCCGTCACTCCCTGTCCCAGTCTCTTTTACCCTCCTTACAGCTGTCTACATGATCAGAGTTGTCCAGGTGTATGTTATTTTTGGTGGAGAACAGCAGTAGGGCAAGAAGCGCTACTTTGTGGGAACAAACCTTTCTCTGGAAAGGGAGTGGAGCTTTCTAAAACAAACCTTA